GGCCGTTACCGGCCCGGGGCCTCCCAGGTGATGAGGGCCGAGTACCCTCTGGAGGGAGCCATGCAGCCGTGACTTCCAGAGCCCTTGGGGCAGCAGACTGGCTGATTCGTCCTAATCCTTTGACGAAAACTGTGACACAAGATGGCCACAAATAAGCCCAAGGGTCAGAACTCTTTCATCTTACACAAGGTCATCATGGTGGACAGCGGCAGTGTGGGCAAGTCAGCTCTGACTCTGTGTGTCCAGAGTTGGCTCCTTCCTGTGGGTTCCTGGTATCTCTGACTTCAAGAATGAAGCTGCCAACCTTTGCGGTGAGTGTTACAGCTCTTAAAGGTGGCACAGACCTGAATAATGAGCTGCAGCAAGATTTATTGTGAAGAGCAAAAGAACAAAGCTTCCATAACGCAGAAGACAACCCAAGCCGGTTGCCTGCTGCTAGAAGGGATGGCCAACTTTTATTCCCTTATTTGTCCCCTCCCATGTCCTCCTGATTGGTCCATTTTACAGAATGCTGATTGGTCCATTTTACAGAGTGCTGACTGGTCCATTTTACAAACCTCTATCTAGCTACAGAGTGCTGATTGGTGCAGTTTACAAACCTCTAGCTAGCTACAGAGCGCTGATTGGTGGGTTTTAACAGAGCACTGATTGGTGCATTTTACAAACGTCTTGTAAGACAAAAAAGTTCTCCAAGTACCCACTCGACCCAGGAAGTCCAGCTGGCTTCACCTCTCATCTACAGTTCATGTACAATGAGTTTGTGGAGGAATATGAGCCTACCGAAGCAGACAGCTATCAGAAGGGAGCTCGGGATGGGGAAGAAGTACAGATCTATATCGTAGATACAACTGGGCAGGAGGACTAGGCTGCAATTGAAGACAGCTACTTCCTCTGTGTCTTCTCTGTTACAGAAATGGAATCCTTTGCAGCTACAGTTGGCTTCGGGAACAGATTTAAGGGTAAAAGAAGATGTGATTATTCCATTTCTACTGGTTGCTAACAAATCAGATTTAGAAGATAAAAGGTGGGTTTCCGTAGAAGAGGCAAAAAACAGAGCTGACTAGTGGAGTGTTAACTGTGTGAAAACATCTGCTGAAACACGAGCTAATGTTGACAAGATATTTTTTGACTTAATGAGAGAAATTCAAGTGAGAAAGATGGAAGACAGCAAAGAAAAGAGTGGAAAAAGAGGAGGAAAAGTTTAGCCAAGTCAATCAAAGAAAGATGCTGCATTTTATAATCAAATCTCTCTTATATTGACTATACTAATAAATATAATTTGTAACTATTGCCACTGAAGGCTCAATTGATTGAAATTACTTTAACATTTTGGTAACTGTTGTATATCACTGAAAGCATGAATTGGAACTGCAGTGAAATTCAAATTTACTTAAAAAAGAAATTAATGTGGCTTCACCAAGAAGCAAAGTTCAACTTATTTAGCAATTGCCAACAATTATCATGGTCCTGAATGTAGTGTGTGAGCTTGTTTCTCTGGCAGTCTTTCCTGAAATATTAAAGAGGTGAGATGGGGGTGAGGAGAAGGAGGAAAGAGGACTTCCTCTGGTATTTTGTTATAAAGCTTACATTTAATATCATATTAAAATATCTTGGTTTTCTACTACCTTGAAAAATGACAATTGTGAACATGATAAACTGTTCCACTTTTTAAAACCATTGTTATGCAAAATTTAGAAAAAAAAGTTATTGGAATGGTTGTTGCATATAGTTAAACTGAGAGTAATTCATCTGTGAATCTGATTTAATTACCTGGTGATTCACTGAGTGAAGTGGTGTAAACTTGTACATGGAAATTTTTGAATATGCTTTAATTTAGAAACAGAAAAATACCTGGTTATATCATTCTGGGTGTGTTCTTACTGACACCAGGGGTCCACTGCCCCATATGTCCTGGTGAGAAAATATATGCCCAGCATGGAGGACAGTTTTTGTGTAGAAGATACTTGAGAAGTAACTGCCTGCCAGGAGCCTGTCCAAATTTAAAATGTGTGCCATACTCTGGTTCTTGAAAATAAGATTCCAGAGCTCTTTGATAGTTTTTAATAAACTTCAAGTTCATTTAAAATGAAGGGCCAGCATATACTTGTAAGATAATTTCAACTGCAATTATTCAGCACCAGTTATATTTGAATGAACCCTGTTTTTCTCTAAGATGCTGGTCCCTGGAAATCACTTTCTGCCAGTGGTGAGCATGTAAGTGTTAAGTTTTTGATCTCCTGAGAGCAGGGCACAGGAAGAAAATGTCAATAGTGCTAATGCATTTTGCGCTGTTGAATGAAGAACACTGTAGCTACATTTTCAGAAGTTAACATCAAGCAGTCAAACCTGCGTACAGTGCAGAAAACATGTTTGTCATACACTGACCAAACATCAGGCTATGTCACCATTGTGTGGTGTTCCTGCAGGAAGAATTCTAGCATGCTATTTGGGGACATAATTTCAATGGAAAATATGCCACTGTCCGATATTTTTTTCCTTTTGGCAGTGGAACTATGACAGTTGATTCAACAGAGTATTTTTTTCCTTTTGCTCAGTCCTGACTTAAACAGGTGAAAGATGTGTTCAGGCATTCCAGGTAACAGGCATGTATGTAAAGTTAAAAATAGGCTTTCTAGGAACTCACTCCTTAGATATTACATCCAATTTCTCATGTTAAGTATTTGTCCTTAAAGGGTTTGAGACACACATCTTTCATTTTGTATTTCTCATAGGCTATGCCGTGTGCAGAATTCAAGTTACCAGTGTAACACTGGCCAGCAGGCCCAGAAATCTCCATGTGTACTCATTACAGTCTTATTTAACCAGAGGTCCTAACCACTAACATTGTGACTTTGCTTTGAGACCTTTCCTTTCCTGGGTACTGAGGTGCTGTGAGGCCAACTGACAAAGATGCATCATGTGTCTTAGGCTGATGCCACTACCCGATGTGTTTAGTTGCAATTTGAGCCATTTAAAGACCAATAAACTTCTCTTTAAAATACATATATTTAAATTAAATAATACACATATAATTTACACCCACAAGAATAGAGCAAGTAATAAGTATACTTTATACAAATAGTCAATAAAAATAAAGTTAATAGTTAAACCTGTACATTTTAGTCACTTAAAAATATTTACGGGCCAGGCACAGTGGCTCACACCTGTAATCCCGGAACTTTGGGAGGCCAAGGCGGGTGGATCACCTGAGGTGGGGAGTTCAAGACCAGCCTGACCAAGATGGCGAAACCCCATCTCTACTAAAAATACAAAATTAGCCAGCCGTGGTGGTGCATGCCTGTAATCCCAGCTACTCAGGAGGCTGAGGCAGGAGAATTGCTTGAACCCAAGAGGCAGAGGCTGCAGTGAGCAGAGATTGCAACATTGCACTCCAGTGGGCAACAAAGAGTGAAACTCTATCTCAAAAAAAAATTATATATATATATATATGTGTGTGTGTGTGTGTGTGCACGTATATATATATGTGTGTGTGTGTATGTATCTATCTATATATCCATATATACATACATAGCTTTTATTGTTGCAGGCACTGTTTTAAGAGCTTTTTTAAAAAAGTAACTGATTTACTCTCATAAAATATTTTGTGAGTTAGATGCTAATACTAATATGATCGTTTTTCACAGATGAAAAGGAAACAGAGAAGTAACTTGCCCCAAGTGGCACAGTAAGCAGTGACAGAGCCAGAGCTGGAACTCATCAGTCTCATTCTAGAGTCTGTTCGATGCTCTGCCTTCTTTCTAATAATCCTTTATTATTGATTAGAAAATTACAAATTTACATCATCTTATCAGAATTTAGATCTGCAGAATTTAGCACAATCAAGTTAAACTTGTTAGAATAAGATCGTGGCTTTTGCAGGGATATGGGTGGAGCTAGAGGCCATTACCCTTAGCAAACAAACATAGGAACAGAAAACCAAACCCCACAGGTTCTCACTTTTAGGTCAGAGCTGAATAATGCGAACACATGGACACATGGAAGGGAACAATACACACTGGGGCCTATGGGAGGATAGAGGGTGGAAGAAGAGAGAGAATCAGGAAAAGTAACTGTTGGATACTAGGCTAAGTGCCTGGGTGATGAAATGATCCACACAACAAACTCCCATGACACAAGTTTACCTATGTAACAACCTGCACACTTTCCCCTGAACTCAAAAGTTTAAAAAAGAGAAATAATAACCACAAAAGAAAACTCACAATGGCAAAAGCTCAATCAACACAGTTTGATATGAACTATGATTTAATAATTTCCAGAATTTTCAGTAATTTCCACCAAAAAAGTTGAGGGCAGCAAAAGCAACTTCTGAAAACTAAAATTAAAAATTTTTTAAAATTAAGAGACAAAAAGATGCCATGCAAAATAGTTATCAAACAGTGAAACAGGTTTCATGCAGTTTGCTTTTAATACCAGCCAAGATGGACTCAATAATGGTATGGTAACAGACAGCAATCACACTTTAGTCTTTCTGTGATTTGAAGTGAAAAGCTCACTGATTTTTATTGAAAGTCTCAAGAGAAGGTAACGTGACAGACATGTAGTATGAATGTCATTGTTTGTGGTGTCAAGCATCTCATATTTCACTGGCCACAGCAAGTCACACACCCAGGTCTCCCTTTAGTCAAGTTGTGCCATGCCCTGACTACTCAGAAATAGGAGAGCCACTTATTAACAAGCAGTTAGTTCAATCAAAATTCATCAGCATGTGGTTCCCAGATAAATATACAAAATTAGCACACTGATTAGAAGGAAGACAGAGCAGCAGGAAATGCCTGTAGGGCAGCCAACCAACGTTTTCTGCCACCATAAATGCTGGCAGTAATAAACGTCATGACAAAGCCAGCATTCATTAAGAGCTCAGAAAATGCCAGGCACTGTGCTTCTTATGTGTTTTCTTATTTAATTCCGAAGTCCTACAAGGTAAGCACAGGATTGCCTATGTCACAGAAAGGAAAACTGAAGAACGAAGATTAAAATACCTTTGCAGATCTTAGAGCTGGTAAATGTTGAAGCTGGGATGAGAACCTAAGCAGTCCGATCAATACTCCCTCTTAGAACTACTCCCTCATTGTGCTTCCCTTCTGAATTGCACATGATTCAGAGGGTGGAGCACTTTCTCTCTGGATATTCCTGGCTTTGCAATAGTATTCATCTCTGGATCTTGAGTGCAAAATAAAATTTGACCCTGGTGGTTTAGCTATAACTGGAAAGGACAACTTCCACAACATTTTCTCAGAAAGCCTGTTGCCAAGATCATCGAGAACAGCATGTGCTCCTCCAGATTACAGTGATAAGAAGGTTAATGTTCCTGAGAGCCGCAAGTCCTGATGAAGCAGCCCTTCTCTGGGAGAGGGACATTTCCGCTGGCCTCCGCTGAGTACTGTGCATTGGCTTTTTAGGGAGGAACTGGCTGAAACTGCTGGAAAACCACATCCATGGGATTCATGCTGTTGGAAAGGCCGTCAACAGGAAATGGTCAATAAATTGCCCTAAACCCACGGAGCTTGCAGAGGGGCACTGCTGCCATTCTGTCTGGGCATAACCATGCTGTCTACTCACTTGAAGACTATCAGATCCCTTCCATTCTAAGGCAGGAGTAATTGAAGAAAAAGGGAATCTCTACCTAAATAAGTTGTATTCAAATTATTCACCTACACCTCAGAATTTACGCTAATCATACCAAAATAAAATGTAGCTAGTGCAGCATCTGGTGTCTGCTGAGCTGTAAATCTCTTCAACAGGTGCTTCTTGTTATGGGCTGAGAGACACTGATGATAATGCCCTTGAGGCATTAACCCCCTCCAACACACACACAGACACACACACACACACACACACACACACACACCCCCCAGGTCTTCCTTATCTTGCCCTAGGTTTTTTCAAATCGATTGGATCTCTTTCAATACTCTACAGCCCCCTTGGATGCTTTCTTTCATCCTTGGGGTACACAAGGGCTCTGTGAGGAGGCCCTCAGGGCTTTCAGTCCAGGCTCTTCATCATTCCGTGACTGATCTGCTATTCAAACTCCATGATCACCGAGGGATTCTAACAGGCTTCTAGTCTCCCCTGGCTATGCAACAGGTAGGCTACTCTAGGATACAACACATCCATTCCTTTCTGTTTGGGAGGTGGGGAGGACAGGGAGGGCTGGGCAGGATTTGGGTTTCTCCCACTAAATCTTACATCACCATATGTTGTGCTGATTTGGGCATAATCTGCATGCCTTTTTACCTTCAAGATTTTTTATTCGGATATTCAAAGCCAAGCATTTGAACTTTGAAAGACGTTATCTGTCTTAAGTACTTGGCTTTTAAGACTTTTGTCTTTGCTATGACTTTTAAAACCCATCCATCAATCCGACTAACGTCGCCTTTCTAAGCAGTACCTGCTCTCCCCCGAGAGCCACGTGCTACCCAGTGGAGGAGCAGGAAGGAGGTGTCGAGAACTCTGAATAATGGATCTCAACATACTTTTTGTTACATCTGCTTTCTGGAATGCTGAGTGTTTCCTCCTATTTGGAAATTATGCTAATTTATGTTGCATTTAGTATATGCCAGCAACTTCCATGACTTTAACCTTCAGTCCTCACAGAAACACCATGAGTTGAAACTTTTATCTTTTTTCACTGATAAGAAAAGGGAGTCTTAGAGACATTGATTAACTTGATGAAGTTCACGAAGGTAGTAGGTAGTGGAACCAGGCACTGTGTTAGTCTGTGAATGTATGTAGATTAATGATACAAAGATGACTGCATCGACTGGTGTAAGCATCAAACATGTAAATGAATCTTGGTGGCCCATTTGGCTGGGTCTATTATTGAGGTTTACACACATAGGATGGCCATTTAACTAAGGGTTATGGAAGACTTCCTATAGAGATTCACACCTGAGTTGATTCACGAAGGATAAGCAGAAAAGTTAGACAAGTGAAAAAAAAAAAAAAAAAGAGGAAGGGAAAGAAAGGGTATTTCAGGGACTAGGAATAGCATGAACAAAAGCACAAGGGCAAGCTGAAATAGAATGTTTTACTCTCTGCTTTAGGCTATTTCTCCAGTTACCTACAAGTGACCCAAAATTTCATACCTTATAACAATAGTCATCGTGCTCATAAACCTGCAATTTAGACAGGACCTGGTGGGAATAATTCATGTATGCCCTGTCTGGCATCATCGATAGCTCAAAGGCTGGGACTGAATCAACTGAAGGCTCATTTTTACATGTGAGTTGACATTGGCAGTAGACAGACCCTAGCTGAGTCTGTAGGCTAAGAATCCTAGGTAGTCCTGGATGGCTCACGTGGCTGGGCTTCCTCACAGCATGTTGGCCGGGTTGCAAAAGTGAGCATCCCAAGAGATAATAAACCATGTGGAAGCCGTAACACATTTTAAAATTTATTTCATTTTTATTAATACATAATATTTGTACATATTTATGGGGTGCATGCAATATTACACAAATAAAATGTGTAATGATTAAGACAGAGTATTTAGGATATCCATCCCATGAGCATTTATCATTTCTACGCACTGAGAACATTTGAGGTCCTCACTTCTAACTGTTTTGAAATGTACAATACATTCGTAACACATTTTTGACTTAGCCTTGTAAGTTATGCAGTGTCACTTCCACCATATTCAACTTGTTGAAACAGTCACAAAATGCACCCAATTTCCAGGATAAGAGAAAAGGCTTCAACCCTGAGAGGGCAGAGCAGTGTTTTAGAAAAGCACGTAGACGTGGAAATACGACTGTGGTCATTTTTCAAATACACAATATAGTATAACTCTAAACATAAAAGAACAATACAAAATGCAAATACAGTCACTTTCCATAGCTATACTGTGTCTTTCTTGATCTAATCATTCTATTAGCTGCATGAGATCATTGATTGACTCATTGCTTACTAAGAGGGGGTTACTAGCAAAAAGCCAAGAAAAGAATTTAAGTCATTTGCCAGGCATCAGCATGAATTATCCACACAGTAGGCTAAACACAGGAAATCCTGTCATCACTGCACAAAATGCTTGTTGTGTTTTCTTGGCCACATGGCAAACAACCATTCATAAACTTTCTGTAACAAAGACTGATCTAGAAATTGTCAGAAGGCCATGAATGTATTCTTGCAATTGAAAGACCATTTTAAGCTATTTGTCCCAGCCACCACAGGGACCTCTTTTACTAAAGGCAGTGTTAATAAATCTTGACCAAAAATCTCTAATGATTTTGCAGAGCCATTCAGTAAAGGTCCTTATTATCTGTGGAAATATCTTCAAAACGACTTGAATCTTTTACTTCATCTCAGTTACCAGGTCCAACAATCATAGCTCCATGCTATTTAATTGTAATGGGTTGTAAAATGCTACATCCTACAAGGCCCAGGGTGCAAATGTCTCCATACTGCAGGCCATGTCAATGAACTGTAAAGTTGCTACGCTCGGGCAACCTGGAGTGACACTAAAATGATTAGAAGCATCTCTTCTAGAGTCGTTTAACTCTAAATCCTCAGCTTCTTAGTCACCGCCCCTCCCCTCTATGGGCTCATCAGAGACCCAGTAGAGAAGCAATGATTCTTCTCTTTCTCCCACAGTGATGAGAATAGACATGATGGAGAGCAAATGCGGACATAAGCCCTTTTACCACAGAATTTACATTTTAGAAGGAGTGACAGACGTTAATCACACAATTACATAAGTATGAAATATAAATGAAAAGGGATAAATGTTGTGATGCAAAAGCTCCTGGTTCTGTGAGAGTGTATTGTAAAGAAACTGATGTATGTGTAGAGAAGTCTTCAAGTAAGGGGAGGAAGGGTGGAGGAAGAGGAGATAGAGACAGAGAATAACTCAAGCAAGAGCCTGAAGCAGGAGGCATGTGATGAGCTCAAGGAACTGAAAGAAGAAAACGGCATAGCACCAGGATGCTTGGACCTGTGGCCCTAGATGACCGGGGTGGGGGGGGGCCTTGTCCTGAGAACAACGAAGGGCCATTCACAAGGTTTAAGGCTCCAGATATTTTAATTTGTTCCATTCAGGAGCAGGTCTTCCTTAACTACAGAAAGCCACTTCAGGGTAGCCCAGTCGTTTTTTTGTGTTCCCCTTACTGGTCTTCTGCTATAGTTTGTTACCTGGACACTACAGCCGTTGTCCACTTTCTGCAGTGTATGTGATCTCCCTAACATGACTCTTCCTTTCTCAGGGATCTATACACCGCTGACACTTCATCTTCCTAAAGTGCAATTTTCATCACATCACTCTCCTCAGAAACTTCTAGAGGCAAATTCAGGATGGAAGGTAAATTCAAGCACTTCCTCTGTTTTTTCTGTTCCTATATGATCTGTCACCCTCACCACCAGCTCTACTCTTCCCAGAATGAATCTTCTACTTCACCCAAAGTCAGTATTTTTTTTTCCCACCATCACACAAATGCTCATGGCATGCCTCCTTCTTGAAATGATCTTGCTTTCTTCCTGCCCTACTCTTACTCATCCATTAGAACAGTACCCAGATCCCACAACTCTGGAAGTTTCCACAGCCAGTGCAGTTTACATTTATTTCTCTCTCTGGGATCTGAGAGCTCTTGTTACCTCTATTCTTCATATGTGTAACTAGTCATAAATGAATGCACATTTGCATTCTGTAACTGTTCAGATAGGTTTATCGTGCTTCCATCAAGGACACAAGTTTTTGTCATCAGAAGCCACAATTTCTATATTACTCATAGCTCTTAGTTGAAGGGTAAACTTGAGGGAAGAGGACAGGAGTCATTCAAGGATCTACACACAAACACTGCAGAATGAGTCATTCTATTTCATGAGCAACAGTGACATCTAGTGGTTGACAGGTTCCATGGCTTCTTCCTACCTTAATAGACAAGGCATTTAGAAAGAGAATATTACAGAATATTTAATGAACCCAAGTTATTCCCACCAAGTACACTGCTTATGAAGGTATTTAAAATATGGATTTATGTGTTCTGCCTGCCCAAAGGCTTCCCGCATCCTCCTGCGGTCCAACGACCCACAAACTGCTGGTAAGAGATCCCTGCGTGAGCTCCTTGCAAACCACAACTTCCCTTTCCCATAGGAAGATCACCAGAAATTTTCATGGAGATTATGCGATTTTCAACTTTCTGCTTCCTGTGAAGATAGAGGTTTATGTGGATAAATATTTATTTTGGAAATAAAGTATGTAATTGAGTAGGAAACTTGAGATGA